AATGCCTAATGTATCATATTTGATACATACAGTTTCTGAAATTTTTGCGTCTGACACCTTTTGCATAATTTAATGGTAAAACCTTTACTTAAAATCCTATTGTACACAATCAGATATACCTGATAACAGAGGGCAGAAGACTACACAAAAAAATTATTTTGACTTATCGCATAGTAATAAAATATTAATATCAAAAATGTATTTTTGTTTTTTCTTTTTACATATTTTGTTAAAAGGCCAAATAAGGACTTCAAACCAAAAAAAAGTAATTTTCTGTTTTGTTATATTCTTGGATCGGGCTTTAAAGGGTTAAATCCTGATGTTGTGAGTTCTAAACATAGTCCCAAACATACTCTGGGCCTCTCAACAAGACCCTTAACCCCTGACTGCTCCCCAGGCGCTGCACAATGGCAGCCCACTGCTCCCCAAAGGGAATGGGTTAAATGCAGAGAGTTAATTTCTTCATTTTAAGATCAATAAAAGTTTAGTTTATTTATTTATTAGCTACTTATCAGTCCCTTTGACCAAAGAGGGCTAGTGGCGCCAGTGTACGGCAGCCTTGCTTCTGTCAGTGAACCCCAGGGCAGCTGTGGCTACAACGCAGCTCGCCACCATCAGTGTGTGAGTGTGAATGGATGAATGACTGAATGCAGTGTAAAGTGCTTTGGCCAAGTCTCCCTACTTGAAAAAGCACAATATAAGTACAGGCCATTTACAATAGGGGTGAGTATCGGCATGGGTGTTGCGATGCGATATGCATCGTAGTACTTGGATCACGATACAATATTATCACAATATTGCAATGTTAGCACATATTGCAAAAGTTTTCCTATCAAAATTAAATGTATAGATAAAAAAACAAGTGCTGTGTATTTTCATCAGAAGATATTGATGGTTTAGTTTTTTGGTATTCATGTTGTTTGGGGTCTGAGTCGGTCCACGTCTTCCAATCTGAGTGCTTCAACTACAGATATGGTGCTGCTCTGCAAAGCAAAAGGGCTTCATAGTGTCATCTGATAGAGTGGTGGTGCAGAGGTAGTCAATTTCCCCTCAGTTTTAGGTAAAAATGTTTTGTTTTTAAAAAAAATCGATACTAGGAACTGAAAGATCGATATTATATCAGGCAGCCAAAAATCGCGATATATCACCGAAAGGATTTTTTCGCACAGCCCTAATTTACAATTTCTTTGCTGTTTTCCTGCAGCAATTACACTAAGAACACTTATACACATATGCTTATTTATACTTATAGCTTCACAGAGACGTAGCTCTGTCTTGAATGCTAAACTTAACCCTTTAAAGCCCGATCCAAGAATAAAACAAAACAGAAAATTACTTTTTTTTCTCGTTTGAAGTCCTTATTTGGCTTTTTAACAAAATATGTGAAAAGAAAAACAGAAATACATTTTTGATATTAATAATTTATTACTATGCGATAAGTCAAGATAATCTTTTGTGTAGTCTTCTACTGGCTGTTATCAGGTATATCTGATTGTGTACAATAGGATTTTAAACAAAGTTTTTACCATTAAATTATGCAAAAGGCGTCAGACGCAAAACATTTCAGAAACCGTATGTATCAAATATGATACATTTGGCATTATAGGGTTAAATCTTGGGTAGAAGAAGAAATAGCTGACATCGTGGAAACCAGGTCCAAGTAGATTTTGCTCACTATGATTGCTTGGACCATGCTTATTAGGGGACTTTTTAAATATTCAAATTGAAGAATTTAAACACTTGAAATATATATCTTTCTATTATTTTCTGCTTCCTTACCAGAACTTTAAAATACTCTGTACTTTTTTGCAGACTTTAAGGAACCATATGAGCCTTTAGAAGCTGTACCCTTAAAGCCCAATGCCCTAATTATATGATCAGAGCCCCAGGTGGCTCCAGCTTTAAGGCAATGGCTCCTGCCAGGATGAAGGGGTCCATCTGGTGATAACTACTTTTGGGATTTAAGCTTTCACTAAATGTGTCTCCCGTGAAAAGAGAAAATCCTGATGGGATCCTGCAGATCAATTTTTTTCCTGGGGCTCTGTAGCAGGTTAATTCACCCCTGCCCTTGTGTTTGATGCATGCTTGTCACCATGTCTTTTATTTTAACAAAATATGAAGTAAGAAATATAGAAAAAAAACATTTATCTTTAAAGCATTTCATGAGAATTCCCCACATTGTCATTGGAGTTTGGTCAGCAGTTGGACTGGGTCATTATAACATATGCTCTGTGCTAAGTCATTCCACAGTAGCACAGTCTGTATGTTTAAGGTTGGTGTTTTATTGGAAGGGGATTGAATATTGTTTCCTCTAGAGCTTCTGACAGATTTTCTTCCAGGATTTATCTGTATTTAGATCCTTTTATCAACCATCAACGTTAAGCAGTTTCTCTTCCCCGTCTCTGCTAAAGAAAAAATACCCCAACAGCATAATGCTCTCACCACCAAACGTCAGAGTTTTTTTTGCATTTTTGCAGAAAAAGAACAAATTTGGTCTCATCTGACCGAGCAATCTTTTCACACAATTTTTTTCCTCTTTCTTAACCATAAACGTAAAACAGAAAGGAGGCCTTCTAAAGGGTTTCTTTTAAATATTGCCTCTGTATGCTTCTCCTACTTGAGCTTTGGATATCAGCAGCTCCTCCAAAGTCACTGGGCCTCTTGTCATTTGTCTTTGATAGAATCCGTACTTTAAAGTTGTAGGGAAGTGGCTGTTAAAAGACTTTAAACAAGTGAATGTGGTTGTTTATCAAGGGGGCTTTATTGTTGTGGCGGAAGGTTCGCAAGCTTTTTGCTTGTGGCCGGTTTGTCGGCAGCATCTTGCTAACCAGTTAGCAACTTAGTGCTACAGTAGTAGGTTCCCAATGGGAAATTCCATTGGGACTAAACCGTTGACTTAGAAACGACACGGTCAAGGAACGCTATGGACAGCGGAAACGTGCAAGAGGAGGAGAGTTTAGTGTCGGAGGTCGTGGATGAGTCTC